TCCTCCCCTCCCCTTCCCTTCCCTTCCCTTCCCTTCCCTTCCCTTTTGTTTTTCCTATTCCAGATGGCTTGCCACCAACATCGAGTTTCTGGGGAACACCATTGTCCTCTTCGCAGCTTTACTCGCTGTGGTATACAAACCACATCTCAGTCCTGGCATGGTGGGCTTTTCCATTTCCTGTGCTCTGCAGGTGAGCTCAAAAGTTTGAATTGGCTTCTTGCCTGCTAGAAGAAACAGCCATCCTCTTGCTGTTCAGCGTAGGGCATGAAGAGAAGTGGAGGCATCCCCAAATATGCCCCCAGTCAAGTCCAGAAGATAGTAGTCATTTCTCTGTTTTGGCTATTGACCAGCACAAAAAACTATTCAAGAATAAAAGTATAGCTGTCCCACTGTGGTGGTAATCTAACCAACCTACCATAAGAGTTGACTAAAATTTAGATCACTTGCACCAGGTATGTAATCATGATACCAGTGCCACTAAGACTGTAATTTAAGGTTTTAAAGGCAAATGTGTGTCGAGTGGAGATATTGATCAGTGGGGTAAAACTACGGAATAGTAACTGAGGAGAAATAAAAACAGCTAACATGAAATATAAAACCACTGTGTCATTAAAAACTCCAAGTAAACTGTTTAATACTAATATTGTAATGCTAAGAGCTATAACTGTGTGGTATAAAATAGAAGACTATGTAAAAGAATGACAATCACTTAAAAGGCTAGAGCTCAACACGACCCATTGCAATCGCTGGTTTTCTGCATTATGAAGAAGGAAATTCATAAGGTGTAGATTATTTTATACTATCTTCCTCTTCCTCCCCTTTTTCTCCTCCTCCCTGATTCTTGATCATTGGAGCTGGCATGCCCCTTCTACTCTGTTTGACTTGCGAGGATCTGAGGCTCGGTAAAATATCCTTGTTTTGCCTGCAGAAATCCCACATCCAGTATCTCCAGTTAAAAGGACCTGGTAGCATAAGGAAAGGCATCTGGGTCCTCTCCAGATGTTTTGGATTCCATCTCCCATAGTCCTTTCCACTGAGGATGCTGGTAGGGCCTGATGGGTACCATCGCCTAAAATAGCTGGGCAAGGGTGATGCATTTCTGCACCCCTTTTTCAGCAACAGAGAGGTGGTGATCCAGTTGAAGACTTTGGTGTGCAGAGCTGGTCCTCTGCTACTGACCTCCTGTTTCTTCCAGTGCATTGGGTCTGTGGCATTGATGATTAAAGTTGTGCAAGTCCCTGTTGGATGAAGGAAGGAATTACCCAACTTTAAACTATAGTTTGGGGTAAGTGGATGACAGGCAGCCTCCTAGAACTTTAGGTAATGCATTTAGCTTCTGAGGTTTGGTCAGAACTTTCAGTTGCCTGGGATCCTTGACTCTCCTCCTTCTCTGCCAGATCACTGGCATTTTGAACTGGATGGTGCGTGCCTCGGCAGAAATTGATAACCACATTATGTCTGTGGAGAGAGTGAGAGATTATTCGCAGACACCCAAAGAGGTAAGTGTTGACTTTTCTTCAGTCACAAAATGGTACAGCTCACTTCCTTAATTAACCCTGATCTGTCTGTCTGCCTGCCTGCCTATATATCTATCCATCTACCTACCTACCTACTCTAATATACTCATGAATAAGCCAAGAATTTTAGGTGCCAAAATGCACCCAACAACATGAGTACAGCTTATCCACAAGTATATACAGTGATACTTTTTTAAAGTACCCATAGAAACTCATGGATAAACTCATCTGCAGATAAGATGACCCTCAAATTTTTAACCAAAATACAACCAAAAATGGATAATCTGTGGATTACCCATGGATAAGCCAATGGGGAAAATTCAAACATACAAAAATTTTGAGGACTGGCCTATCTGTGGGGGGTGCATTTTTCGTGATATTTGAGAGATTGTGGGGAAGCAGGAAGGGAATGGAAGCGAGAGCAGATATAAACAATCAAGAGACAGCAGGCAAATCAGTTGACAGCTTATCTCATAAATAGTAACTTTGTCCAGGTGGAGAGAAATCTGGGAAGAAGCATTTCGAATCATTCAAAGAGACTCTACTCAATACACTCACTATCAATGTGGCTGGGAAATTCCTCCTTCAGTTTCCAGGGTTCTGTGTTTACCCCAGATTGGCATGAAAGACGTTTGACTTGCCTTTGTATAGTTCTTGTTTCCATCATCTTCCCAGCTGCATATGGCTGGACACCCCTTGTTGGCAAACCATACTAGTTCCATTCACACATCAAACTGAGCCAAAATGAAGACTTGATATTGAGGTTCAGTGCAATGTATGTATCCCAATTGTGCAGTCAGAAGCATGTCTGTCTTTGACCCTCCTGAAAAGAGCCACCCCAAGTAGTTTTAAGTCCTTATTGCTGCAATAATATTTTTGTTTTTGTAGCTTTGCCTCTTGGAGTTTCTCTTTGGGGTTTGCTGATGTAAGCTAGCATCATTGTTGCATCTCTTTCAGGCTCCATGGACTTTAGATAATCATCTCCAAGGTGACAGGTGGCCCACTGAAGGGGCAATTGAATTCAGGGGGTATAGCCTACGATACAGGCCAGAATTAAGTCTAGCTCTGAAGAATATCAACCTAAAAATCAAAGGGCAAGAGAAGGTAAGACATAATAAAGGGATGTAAAAAGAGTTCTGATGACTTAAACCAAAGGTTCATCTACTCCAAAGTCTCCTTCCCTTCACTGGAAAGTTTGGTCCCTTAAAAAATCCAGTGTGCAGTAGGGATTAGGCTGTTGGATTTGGATCTGCAAGATGCAGATGGAAGCCCTTACTGGACCAGTGAGTTCATGGTAGATTTGAACCAGTTTTTTTGTTTTCTTTTAATAAGCAAAGCTCATGGGGTTGTTGTGGTGAAAACACAATAAGGAGAGACTTTTATACATTTTCAAAAGCAGGATAGTGAGGAACAGTTATCTCCTCTTGTTGTTTCCCAGCAGGTGGTCCTTCCTTCTCAAACCTCTGTTTCTCTCTTGTAGGTGGGCATCGTTGGAAGAACAGGGGCTGGGAAATCTTCCCTTGCGATGGGGCTTCTAAGGCTCGTGGAAGCTGCGGAGGGAGAGATTGTGATTGACGGAGTCAACATTGCCCAAATGGGCCTGCACAACCTGAGAAGCAAAATTACGATTGTCCCACAGGTATGAAGTCAATATATCACTTTCACTTTATCCTGTTCTTGTCCTATTCACCCAAATATGTTGATATCCAAGGTAACACTTTCAACAGACACCGAGGTTTCATTCAGTCTTTCGCTATGGTGTTCCAGTTGGGATCAAGATCTTTTTGCAGTCCACCTCTTCATCTTGTAGGAGGTTGTCTGAGTGCACATGGGTAATTATAGGGCCACTACCATGATACCAAGTCAATATAAGAAGGGAAAAAAGGAATTGAAGCTAAATGTTTATAGAGGGTCATATATTCCTCTTAGATACTCAAATCAGGTCTCCATGTGTCATCCTTGCAAGGTAGTCCAGACAAGAAGGACACCCAGAAGTACTAGCTCTAACTTTATTGTAAGGTTACATTAACAGAATCTTGCAAGTC